CTGATAAATGGATTTCAGCAACTTTGATGTATGTCAAATGTCTTTTGCTCAGACAGTGGAAAGGCCCAGAAGTGTCTTATTTGAAAGATTGCTTTATATATATATATATAGAGAGAGAGAGAGAGCTGAGATCAATTCCCTTGAAAGGCTCATTTACAGGTATGAGGATAAAATGAATAAATACCAGGACATTTGCTCCTAATTTCCCCCCAGAGGTAATGGTCAGCACTTGATAGAACTGTCTCCTGTGACAGGAAACAAGATGTTGTGTCACTAAGATGTCAGAGTGTAAGTAGAATGGGAAGACAGAAAGGCTTTTATGTCAAACCACACAAATGTGTCCTTCATCTTTTTCTTTCGTGTCATTTATATAATTGCCATCTTTTCTTTTCCCTGCAACCCAATCATATTTTCTTTTCTTCTTCTGCCTTTTCTATGTCTGTCTAACTATAAGATACTGTATGAATATGTTTTCCTTTCAGATTTTAAGTCTGATCCTCCAGTTGTTACACATGCAAAATTCCATTGACTTTAATGGAAGTGATGAGCACATAAGTACTGCAAAGTAGCACTGATTGTATTTAAAAAGAATAGAAATTTGCACTTTTTCATAATTACAACATAATTGTTTCAGACCAGAACCGGGCCAGGCAGGCTTCAGATCTTTTTTTAATGATTCAGTCTGAATGAACTCTTCTAATTGAGGAAACAATGTCTTGCTCTATTTTTGCAATTAAACTCTGGAATAAGTTTAGTTATATCACTTGTGTGAATGCATATAGTTTTTATTTTGGACACAGCCTTGTAAGCCATCATATACAATAAAGACAGATTTAAAGAAACAAATTGAAGTTGATGCATGTGTAAAGAAACTACTTTTCTTAACACCGTACTAAGGCATATGCAGAAGCTGGCATGGAAATAGGGTGAAAAGATGAGATGATGTGCTGTGCCTTTGGGGATTAGAAGGAGGTAGGGCAGCTTTAAACCACATTTGCCTCATTCCAGTTCTGAGCATTTTGGGCCTGAAATGGCTCTTGATGTGACCTAGGGAACTAGGGTAGGAATAAATGTAAATTTTCAGAATGGAGAGGGGTAACTAGTGGTGTACCTCAAGGGTCAGTCCTAGGACCAATCCTATTCAACTTATTCATAAATGATCTGGAGAAAGGGGTAAACAGTGAGGTGGCAAAGTTTGCAGATGATACTAAACTGCTCAAGATAGTTAAGACCAAAGCAGACTGTGAAGAACTTCAAAAAGATCTCACAAAACTAAGTGATTGGGCAACAAAATGGCAAATAAAATGTAATGTGGATAAATGTAAAGTAATGCACATTGGAAAAGATAACCCCAACTATACATACAATATGATGGGGGCTAATTTAGCTACAACTAATCAGGAAAGAGATCTTGGAGTCATCGTGGATAGTTCTCTGAAGACGTCCACGCAGTGTGCAGCGGCAGTCAAAAAAGCAAACAGGATGTTAGGAATCATTAAAAAAAGGGATAGAGAATAAGATGGAGAATATCTTATTGCCCTTATATAAATCCATGGTACGCCCACATCTTGAATACTGCGTACAGATGTGGTCTCCTCATCTCAAAAAAGATATACTGGCATTAGAAAAGGTTCAGAGAAGGGCAACTAAAATGATTAGGGGTTTGGAATGGGTCCCATATGAGGAGAGATTAAAGAGGCTAGGACTTTTCAGCTTGGAAAAGAGGAGACTAAGGGGGGATATGGTAGAGGTATATAAAATCATGAGTGGTGTGGAGAAAGTGAATAAGGAAAAGTTATTTACTTGTTCCCATAATATATGAACTAGGGGCCACCAAATGAAATTAATGGGCAGCAGGTTTAAAACAAATAAAAGGAAGTTCTTCTTCACACAGCGCACAGTCAACCTGTGGAACTCCTTGCCTGAGGAGGTTGTGAAGGCTAGGACTATAACAGGGTTTAAAAGAGAAGTGGATAAATTCATGGAGGTTAAGTCCATTAATGGCTATTAGCCAGGATGGATAAGGAATTGTGTCCCTAGCCTCTGTTTGTCAGAGAGTGGAGATGGATGGCAGGAGAGAGATCATTTGATCATTACCTCTTAGGTTCACTCCCTCTGGAGCACCTGGCATTGGTCACTGTCGGAAGACAGGATACTGGGCTGGATGGACCTTTGGTCTGACCCAGTATGGCCGTTCTTATGTTCTAACTATGGAGGCTGCTCTGCGCTACAGCAGCCCTGTACAGGTCCATGGCAGCATATGGGGCTGAACCGTCTCACTCAAGGATTTTATGATACACCAGGATAAAATAATAATAAAATAAACTAATGGAGATATCCCATCTCCTAGATCTGGGCAGGACCTTGAAAGATCATTGAGTCCAGCACCCTGCCTTCACTAGCAGAACCAAGTACTGATTTTGCCCCAGATCCCTAAGTGGCCCCCTCAGGGATTGAACTCACAACCTTGAGTTTACCAGGCCAATGCTCAAACCACTGAGCTGTCCCTCCCCATCAGATTAATCTGATCAAAAGACCAATTAGTGAAACACAAGGAAGGGGGAAAGGTGTCCAGAAATATCCAAAAAGTTATTTTTAAAAATATGAAACATACCTAGACTTCTTATGGTCCGAATCTGTGCCTGCTGGAATAAATGTAAAATAGGAATTTGCTTGTGAGGCCAGCAGTGGTACAGCACAGGAGTCAGGTAATCTAAATGGCACGTCCAACAGCCCCAGAACACAAATATTTAGAGGTGTCTTGCAAACCTTTTTTTAAGTGAGACAAATCTGTTTTTGTGTTCTGAATGCCACAAGTAGCTAAGCTAGGAAGGGAGTATTCAGAATGCTCTGCAAGGCAATGATCCCAGAGTACTTGATGATAGCCTGGTGTGGAAAAGTTTCCTACCACGGAGGACACAATAAGGCCGCTCTCCCCAGGAACCTCATGCAAAGGCTTTCCAATTACCTCCAGGAGAGCTTCGTGGAGATGTCCCATGAGGATTTCAGCTCTATCCCCGGACATATAGACCTTCTTTTCCAGTAGCTGCACTTTCAAGGACTAAAACGTGAAGCGCCTAGGGCAAACTAATTGTTAATATTAGTTAATATTAACCTATTGTTAATATTGTTAATATTCCTGTTCTGTTCAAAATAAATGTTTACATGTTTTAAACACTTACCGACTGATCCTTCCCCTGATTCTGGGTCCGGGTTAACGCCTGGGGACGGTTGGTAGGGATCTCTGTGAGGGTGATGAAGAGATCCTGGCTGTCGGGGAAATCAGCGTTGTAAGCGCTGTCGACTGCCTCGTCCTCCTCATCTCCTTCCTCATCTTCCCTGTCCGCTAACATCTCCAAGGAACCGGCCGTCGACAATATCCCATCCTCAGAGTCCACGGTCAGTGGTGGGGTAGTGGTGGCGGCCGCACATAGAATGGAATGCAGTGCCTCGTAGAAACGGCATGTCTGGGGCTGGGATCCGGAGCGTCCGTTTGCCTCTTTGGTCTTCTGGTAGCCTTGTCTCAGCTCCTTGATTTTCACACGGCACTGCGTTGCATCCCGGCTGTATCCTCTCTCTGTCATGGCTTTTGAGATCTTCTCGTAGATCTTTGCGTTCCGTCTTTTCGAGCGCAGCTCCGAAAGCACGGACTCATCGCCCCACACAGCGATCAGATCCAAGACTTCCCGATCAGTCCATGCTGGGGCCCTCTTTCTATTCTGGGATTGCATGGTCACCTCTGCTGGAGAGCTCTGCATCGTTGCCAGTGCTGATGAGCTCGCCACGATGTCCAAACAGGAAATGAGATTCAAACTGCCCAGACAGGAAAAGGAATTCAAATTTTCCCGGGGCTTTTCCTGTGTGGCTGGTCAGAGCATCTGAGCTCGGACTGCTGTCAGAGCGTCAACAGAGTGGTGCACTGTGGGATAACTCCCGGAGCTATTAGCGTCGATTTCCATCCACACCTACCCTAATTCGACATGGCCATGTCGAATTTAGCGCTACTCCCCTCGTTGGGGAGGAGTACAGAATTTAAGAGACCTCTATGTCGAACTAAATAGCTTTGTTGTGTGGACGGGTGCAGGGTTAATTCGATTTAACGCTGCTAAATTCGACATAACCTCCTAGTGTAGACCAGGCCTAAGTTCGTCCTCATCCCCCCGCCCCTGTCCCTTTAATACCTTGGGGCCAACAGGTTTAGAACAACGCAGCAAATAGAATGTGGGACACAATCAAAGGAAAACAGCTGGTCACTTTGAATGATATGGGCTATAGATATATATTAAAATACATCATTTTATTTTCAACTTGGTTATTAGAGAGGCAAAAAACCCCCAACCTCACAATAAAACATGAGCAGACACCAGGTTTGCGTGGGTGACTGAGGTGAGTCTAAAACGATTTCTTTCTTAATGAGGAATATTAGAGAGACAGTGCTTAATTTGTGCCAGGGCTGAGCTCCAGCACCTCTAGGCTTGGCAGTTCATAGTCCTAGAAACCCGGCACCTCTGGGCTTGCCCTGTCAGTTATGAAAGTAAAAAAAACTGATTGAGCCCCAGCACCTCTTTCATTACAAATAAAGCATTGCAGAGAGGTACAGCTGCTACTGGACCCATGCCTGGGGCTGCCACACCCTGCGACGGAGGTGAATGAATGAGACCTGGAAAAATTAGGAGAGTAAATCAATCACACTCATTCAGCCCCAGAGGCAGGGAATTTAATGCATACTGCTGCAAACCCGTCCCGCTGCGAGTTTCCCAGCCAGCCAGCGGGTCTGCAACTGTGTCCCCTTCACCCTGGGGGGGGGGGGGTGACGCTGGGGTGAAGCAGCCGGGCTCCTGCAGCTCTCCAGCTCCAGGACAGACGCGTGAGGCCGAAGGCGGGGCGGGCAGGCTGCAGGAGGGCCGTGAGGCTGGGGAGGGAGAGAGGCGGCTTCTCCGTGCTCCAGGTGGGAGAGGGAGGCCAGGGCTGGGCGGTAGCAGCAGCAGGGTTGCATTGCTGGGCTAGGGCAAGAGCTAGAGCCCCACACCGGCCCCGACCTCCCCCCAGAGCCCAGCTCTCCTGCCCCCAGCGGCCCGGGAGGAACTGAACCATCGTTGCACAGGAAGTAGCGGCTGCTGGGAGAGGAGCAGCGGAGACGGCAGCATCTGCCGCACTCAATGAAAGAGACTCGCAGGGACCCAGCCAGCCGCCCCGATCCTACCCCCGCCCCGCCTCGCCCCCCGGGGAGCAGCGGCGGTGCCAGCACCCAGGGCAAGCTCTGAGCAGGGCAGTCGCTGCTGGAGGTGGCGGCGGCCAGGGAGCTGGAGCCGAGCCGGGCAGGAGCAGCTCCAGCTAATCCGGAGGCGGCGGCGGCAGGTTTGTGCGGCTCTGGCTGAAGGGGGTTGGTGCAGGGGAGGAGGGGGGTCGGGGCATTGCTGCTGTCTGTGCGGTGCACCGCTGTGGCCTTGGCTGGGGCTGCCTCTTGGCCGGTGTCGTGTGCGCGTCTGCCGAGCGCAGCCCTTCCCCGGGGAGCTCCTCCTCCAGCCCCCCGCTCCTCGCTGCAGCCCTTCCCTAGCGCCCTCTTGCCATCCACCCCTTCCCCAAGCCGCTGTCTCCTTGGTGCGCCCTTATCTCCTCCTGCCCTCTCCCTGCGGCCCCGCTCAGTGGGCGTCTTTCACCATAGCATCCTAGCTCCTTTCGCTCTCCCCAGCGCACCGCACTGAGACAGCTGCTCCCGGGCCCCAGCTCCCGCCCGGCCCCGCTGCTACCCCCATTGCTGCTGGGGATGGGTGGGAATTTTCACCCCCCCGGGGGGGGGGCGTTCACTTCCCCTGGAAGTTGACATCTTGACAGTTTTCCCGGTGTGTGCGCCCGGGATGCACATGGCGCGGGGCTGGGCTCAGCGGCGGCTGCAGCAGCTCCCGTCTCTAGCAGCTCCCGCAGAGCTGCCGCTCTCCTTTCTCTTCTCACCCCGCTGCCGGGCATTGCCCCCTGGCGCTGCCCCCGTCCCCCTCCCTGGCGCTGCAGGGAGAGGAGGAGCTGCCCCGGGGAGGGCGGCTCTGCCCAGCCTGGGACCCCAGGCGGCCGCTTCCTCCCCGCGGACTTCGCTGGCGGTGGGTTGAGGCTCAGCCCCTGCCCTGCAGCCGCGGGCTGTGATGTGTGTGTGAAAGGTCAGCGCTGTAGCAGGAGAGCGGGGACCATTAGCGGCCGCAAGAGCCTTGTCTCCCTTCAGCTCTTCCGTTTTCAGCTCCTTGTCAGTGTGGCTGGGGGAGGCCCAGGGTGACCAGATAGCAAGTGTGAGAAATCAGGATGGGGGAGGGGTAATACAGGCCTATATGAGACAAAGCCCCCCAATCAATACTGTCCCTATAGAATCGGGACATCTGGTCACCCTATGAAGGCCTGGTCCCTTGATTTCAGTTGGGATTTCGCTAAGGGGTGTGTGTGCCGTGCGCAGGCAGAATCACTGCATTAGAAGGGCTGTGCTGTGGGATGTTGCTTTTGTTTGTGTTTGTATAAGTGTCTGAAAAGCCCTGTGTGTCTGACCCATGGAAGCAAATAGGAGAGGAGAGGCAGGGAGCGGAAGGGAGGGGATATACTCCCTGAGCGTGTCAAGCTAAACTAAGTATCTGACGTGTCCAGCTGTATCAGTTGATCAAATTGTATGTGGACATTTGGAAGGTCCTATAAAGAAGAAAATATAGAAATGCAAAATGCTACATTAATAGCATCTTACATAAAAGAATCTGAGTGCTTTGCATAAGCTGGCCTCATTAGCCCTTGGCAGTAAATATTGTACACAATAAAATTAAGACTCTACCCCCCTCATCACTAGTGCAATGAATTGGGATAAGGATTTTTTGTTTCTTATTATTGAAAAGCAAAAAATATGTCACTTGTCCTTTTCTCGCTGAAATCTGCCCTGCCTCTGTTAAGATGAAGAAGCATGTGCAGAAAACGATGAAAGAATGGTTTAAAAATAAATAAGAAGCCTACTTCTGAATGGCTCCACTGTACATGAGCAGACAGCATGTAACTACAAAATGGAGAAGAGAAAACCCTGAGGATTTGACAGCCTAAACCAACTATAATATTGCTGTGCCATGGATTCTCTTAGGAGGATGGTGATGGGTTTAATAAAATGTTAATTTAATGTATAGGCACCCAGATCAGTAGTAATAATTCTTTCATAACTTTCAGTGTCACTTTTTCTTGGAACTGTGTTTATATTGAAACTTTTGTCAGTGCATGTGTTAGGCCAGGTCTATACTGCAGACCTATATCAGTATATCTACATTGCTCAGGGGTATGAAAAATCCACACCCCTGAGTAATATAGTTATACCAATCTAATCCCCGTGCAGACAGCGCTGTGTTGACAGGAGAGCTTCTGCTAACATACCTACCACCTCTCGGGGAGGTGGGATTAACTATGCCAACGGGAGAAACTCTCGTCGGCATAATAGCATCTTCGTATACAGTGCTACAGCAGCGCAGCTGCACCACTGTACAGTGCACAATGTACAGCTGCGCGCTGTAGCGCTGTAAGTGAAGACAAGCCCTTAGCATACTGGCCAGTTTGACACCTCATTTTCCATTAGCACTACTTTTGTTCTTGAGGCCACCATCTCTCCTTGGATCTTTGTTTCCTCTCTCTTTTCAGGGGAAGGGGTGTAGTAGTAGGGGAAAGTGAGGAAGTGTTACAACACTGTTGATAATTGGTCTCCCTTCTGACTGCTAATAAACTGCTCATGATTTCAGCAAACATATTTTCAAGTCTAATGTAAACTTAACTGATCTTTCACCCTTTCTTCCACTCTAGAGCTAACAGTTCAGGGTCCAGAATCACAAATATTTGACAACAGGTGAATTGCTGTTCTGAATCTGAGTTCTTAATAGTAAAGTGGTGAACATTTGGCCTGTCTTAACAGCATTTCTTTTGATGTGAAGTGTTACATTTGGAATTTTTGTTTTACTTTTGTCTGTACTATAACAATTTCTTTTTGCTAGATTCTATTGTGACTAACTGATTAAACTTACAATTAGGTTTGTATGCATTGATTCCACTTACACTGGAACAGATAAAACTTTCATGCAGATTCTTGGGCTGTGTCTACACTACAGAAACTGCTGATTGACACTGGGTGTTAAATGCAGTTGCCCCTTCTCAATCTGTCAAGTGTCTGGTATGCTTTGCTGCACCTGTTGAACTCAGCAGAATCCACACTAGTCGGACAAATGCTTTTAACAGCAGATGTGAGTCACTGCACTTTCTGTAGTATAGACAGTCTTGCATTCAAAAGTTGTCCAACTTAACTGTTCTGGCTTTGAAAAACAGTGATAAATTTACCTTTTAGTTACAGGAAAACAATCAAAGCATCATGTTTCTTGGCTCCTTGATTTTTAGACCCATATCTGCCTCCCTACCCTATATATTTGGTGTTACTAAACTTTTACGGTAAACATTACTTGCATTAAAAAAAAATAAAAAAGCTGACTAATGAAATTGAGTTAAAAAACTTCATCCACCTGGTCTAAAATGGCACCATGTCATGTTATGCTTCCTACTTTACTAATTTCTCATCTTAATTCTTCTCTCCCATATAAATGGCTTTGGCATATTGGAGAGATACAAACTACTGGCCTCTAACTGTAGCTTGAATCTAACATGTATAGCAGAGGGAAACCAGTTGGATTGTCTTATCTGAACACAATCAGTCTTGCAGCACCGTTTATAACAACTTTGTGTGGTTAGCACCTAGAGCTTTGAGTTGCTTTCTGGCCAAATTTGAGATTAGAGTTGGTTTTATCAATGAAGTTTCCCTGACTGTGGTCACTGAAGTTATCTTGAACTGAAATATAAGGAATTTCAGTTTCCATAGAGCCTAATTCTTAATCTTCTCAAACAGATGTTTCAGCAAACAGAACAAAATTCTATCTATATGGAACTCTTTCCAGTTAAAAGTGTTAATGTTCTTTTTTTCCAATCATAGAATGATAAAGCTATTGCCCTCTGTCATAGTTGTTTTACAAAATGAAACTGTTTGCTGCACATTCCACTATTAGTTTTATTTTTTCTTTTGGTTTCCATCTGCAGAAAGACTCTTTGTTTTGAAGTCCTAATAGATGTTTTGCTTATTTATGAAACTATTACTGAGTTGTTGGATTAGGAACTTTACTCTTCAGGGGAAAAGTGTAAATAAGGTATTCCTGTTAACTATGGTGTATTTATCACTGAATTACTAATATTGGTGGAAGCATCATGCTACAGTTTTTCTTAAAAAGTTGTATTTAGTTTTCTTTTCCTTGTCCCCTTGCTTATTAAAACATCAACACAATGGTGCTCTTCATTGCTTATTTCTCATCATCTTAGTTTTTTCAGTCAAAAACTGACAAACTTGAGCACTAGATGTTTCTTCTCATCTTTTAAAAGTATCTATGTTGCCAGTCTTACTTTCCTGCACATTTAATGTAGAGGTTTTTTTTTTTTTTTTTAAGGCCTGGTCTACACTAACCCCCCCCACTTCGGACTAAGGTACGCAAATTCAGCTACGTTAATAACGTAGCTGAATTCGAAGTACCTTAGTCCGAACTTACCGCAGTCCAGACGCGGCAGGAAGGCTCCCCCGTCGATGCTGCGTACTCCGCTCGCCGAGCTGGAGTACCAGCGTCGACGGCGAGCACTTCCGGGATCGATCCGGGATCGATTTATCGCGTCTTAACCAGACGCGATAAATTGAACTCAGAAAACCGATTGCTTACATCCGGACCCGGATGTAAGTGAAGACGTACCCAAAGACTTGCTGACTGTCAACACTTGAAGCCATTGGTTCATTGGTGAGAAAGGTTGGCCCTCTGGCTATTCTTCCTGCTTTAAATAGCTAGGTGAAGAACCCTAAAAAATCGCTGGAAGCAGCGGAATCTTCAATTTCATCATATCTAAGATTTTTTCCCCACCGTCTGTAGTGACATGCTTCCAACAGTCATTCTCCCTGCCTACTCTTACCCCTCAAGAAATTTAATGTTAAGACTTTGCACTAAATTTGTGTGCGTGTGATTATTAAAAACAAAAAAAGTACTTAAATGTTTGAGTACCTAAAGGATGAGTATGGAGAGAACTAGTTCTTCTTGTCTTATCTCCACAGAACAGGGTACAGTACACAGATATTATAGAAAAACTAAGGAGGTTAGGGTGGGGTGGGAGGTAGAATCTTTTATTTGTTATTGGAAGCAAGAATCCACTTGGCATTTTAAGGGAAAACTCAATTTTACCAGTGCAGTTGCTTCAAGAGGCCAAAATTACAACAACGTCTGTGTCTGTGATTACCCTATTCAGTTTTATTTCAATGCAGCTGAAGACGCATTCATTCACCAGAT